TTCATTTAAGTCTCTTTACCCTAAATAGTTATCTTCCCTAAGAGCAAGGATATTCTCTTACATTTCATAAATTCAGGAAATTTTACATTTATCTAAATCTATTATCTCATTTATTGTCTGTATTATATTCCACTAATTTTCCAAATATTGTCCTTTTCACTTGACTCAGGATCTCACATTACATTTCTCTTTACTTTAATCTGAAAAGTTCCTCAGCCTTTCTTTGGATTTTATGGCTGGTATTTTTGAAGAATACTGGCCACTTTTATAGAATGTCCTTCAATTAGAGAATATTTGTAGGTTCTTCCAGATTAAACTCAGGCTATACATTTTTGGTAGGATTATTGCATTGGTGACCTATCTTTCTCAGTGTATTATTTACGGAGGCACATAATGTCATTCTGTCCCATTATTAGTGTTGTTACCTTTGATCACTTGGTTTGGGTGGTGTTTGCCAGGTTACTCCATTGTATTTTTTTTCTTTGTAATTAACATTTAATCTGTAAGGTAGTCTATTTTTCTTGGCCAGTCTTGCCAGAAATCCTATTATATATTTGTTTCTGTTTTATTTATTCTGCCTATCTTTGTTTTTTACTTTATTCTACTTTTTGAGGTCTCAGTTTGCTATTCTTCTTCTAACTTCTTGAAATAGATGTTTAGGTGATTGACTTTAAGAATTTCTTTTTTCTATTTGCATTTAAGACCATAGATTTTCCTCTAAATGTGGCTTTAGTTGCATCCTACACGTTTTGGTAAGAGGGGACCTTATAGAGCATTATATTTTTTTCCTAAATGTGATGGGAAACTATTAGAGGCATTTGAGAGCAAAAGTTATGTGTTGTCACTAAGATATGATGTGTTTAGTGGAACAAGAAAGAGAGCAGGAGACCAATTTGAGAGTTACTGCAGTAGTATAGCAATGGTAGCTTAGACTGTAATAGAAGTGGTGCTGATAAATGATTATGTCATTATATATATATTAAAGAACAAGTTGACCATGCTTGCTAATAGACTGTAAGTTGAGTAAGAAGAAAAAAACTAGGCTTTTGGCTTAACCTATTGGTAAAAGATGGTTGCATTTACTAAGATGGGTTAAGCTGGAGTATGAATGAATCTAAAAAAGGGATTTGCAAGTTCTCTTTGGACATGTTATGGTTGAGGTACTTATTATATATTTACATGAAGATTTCAACTAGGCAATTAGGTGATAAATATGGAGCTTAGGGGTAAGATAAAAGCTAGAAGTATAGACATCAAAGGACACAATAAAGTGAAAATGCAACCTATGGAATAGGAAAAAATATTTTGTAAGTCACGTATCTGATAAGGGGTTAATATCCAGAATATATAAAGAACTCCTACCAAAAACAAGAAAAACAAGCAACTCAATTTTAAAAATGAGAAAAGGATTTGAATAGATATTTCTTCAAAAAAGATATGTAAATGACCAGCAAACACATGAAACTATGCTCAACATCACTAGCCACTGGGGAAATGCAAATCCAAACCACAGTGAAATATCACCTCACACCCATTAGGATGGTTACAGTCAAAAAACAAGTATAACAAGTATTGGTGAGGCAGTGGAGAAACTGAAACCCTTGTGCTGGTGGGAGTGTAACATAGTTCAGCCACTGTGGGAAAAGAGTATGGTGGTTCCTCAAAAAATTATAACTAGAATTACCAACTTAAACAGATACTTGTACACACATGTTCTTAGCAACATTACATACAGTAGCCAAAAGGTGGAAGCAATCTAGGTTTCATCAACAAACAAATGAAGAAACAAAATGTGGTGTGGTGGTCGTGTGTGTGTGTGTGTGTGTGTGTGTGTGTGTGTGTGTGTGTAATCCTGACACAGGCTGCAACATGAATGAACCTTGAGGACATTATGCTAAGTGAAATAAGTCAGTCACATTCAGAAAAACAACAAATACTGTATGACTCCAGTGATATGAGGTATCTAGAGTAGTCAAATCCATAGAAACAGAAAGTAGAATGGTGGTTGCCAGGAACTGGAAGAGGGAAGAATGGGGAGTTATTAATGGGTACAGAGTTTCAGTTCTGCAAGGTGAAAAAGTTCTGGAGATTCGTTGCACAACAGTATGCACATAATTAACACTACTGCACTAAACACTTAAAAGTGGGTAAGATAGTAAATTTTATGTTATGTGTATTTTATCATAATTAAAAAAATTTTTTTAGAGGTATAAATTTAAGACTTAGCATTATATTATTGGTATTTAAGCCAGACTGCTATTAAGGGAAAGAGTGTAGATTGAGGGCTGGCCAGAGCCTGAGTTCTGGGACATTCCAACATTTAGAGGTCAGGAAGTGGAGGAGAATTCATTAAGGGGAACTGAATATAAGTAGAGAGGTAGGAGGATAACCAGGAGAATATGGTATACAGGAAGCAAAGGGATTGATCAGTTGTGTCAGACGCTACTAATGAGTCAAATAGAGTGTTGACTGGCATTTGAGCACTGATTTTGGTAAAGTAATTTTGTTAGTTACTTTAGCTAGAAATGTTTCAACAGAGCTATGGGAGTTGAAATATTTATTGGAGTGGATTACAGAGAAAATGACTAACATACAAAGTCATTTGATATAACACAGAGTCAGGGAAAGGATGGTCTTTTCAGTAAGTGGTGCTGATATCTATTGAAAAATAAGAGTCTTGATTTCTACCTCACTTGATTTCTACCTCATAGTGATTTCTATAATCCACTAGGTGGATTATAGATCTAAATATGAAAGGTAAAATAGTAAAAGCTTCTGGAAGATTATATGAGTATATTTTTATGAACTTGGGATTAGACTATCTTAAAATTAAGAATTTCTTTTTATCAAAACATAGTATTAGGAGAGAGAAAGGGCCAGCCCCAGAGTGGGAAAAGATACTCGCATTATATAGTTGGTTATATCCAGAATAAGTTAAGAATTCCTACAAATCAAAAAGAAAAATACAACCCAGAAACTACCCAGATGTCCCTCAACTGGAGAATGGATAAACAAAATATGGTTATCTGTACAATAAAATATAACTCAGCCATAAAAAGAAATGAAGTACTGATATGTGCTACAGCATCACTGAACCTTGAAAACATACTGAGTGAGAACAGACACAAAAGGTCACATATTGTATGATTTCGTGTTTATGAAATTTCTTGACAATTTCAGAGACATAAAGCAGATTGGTTGTTGCTGGGGGCAGGGCTGAGAGGAGAATAGAACATGATCATGGGTGTGAGGTTTCTTTCTGGCATGATGAAAATATTCTGGAATTAGGGATCGGATGGTTGCACAACAGTGGGAATGTACTATAAGTTACTGAATTGTATGCTTCAAAATGGTTAAAATGGTGGATTTTGTATGTATTTTATTTCCCCAAAAATTAATAAAAATGGACAAAACACCTGCATAGGCAATTTATTAAAGAAGATATCCAGTTGGCCAATAAACATATGGCAAAGTATTCAGCCTGCAAAATTACAAATTAAACCACAATCCAATATCACAACACATCTGCCAGGATGCTTAAAAGAAGATTGACAATTACAAGTGTTGCTGAGGATATGAAGAACAGGAACTCTTTTAGAGTGTGATGGAATTGTAAATTAGAAAACTGTTGCATAGTGTTAACTGAAGCTGAACAAATGCATATCATCTGATGCAGTAATTTCACACCTAGAAGAAAGGAGTCCTGTTTCCACCAAAAGAAATGTGCATGGATGTTGATAGCAGTACTAACCATAATAGCCAACAACTGGAAACAACCCAAATGATCATCATTAGGAAAATGGAAAAATAAATTGCGTTAGCATAGAATGCTTTATGTAGCTGTTGGTCTCAAACAGTTCAATGGAAGGCTGTATTAGTTTGGATATAGATTTGGCTGTATGTGACAGAGACCCCCAAATAATTGTAGTTTAAACTATTTAGAGGGTTAATTTTCTCTTTCATTAAAGTCCAGGCTGGAGTGGCAACTCTGTTCTGCAAAATCATCTGTGACAGACATGACATCAAATGCACATTGCAGCTGGCTTTGCTGAGGAATCAGAAGAATAACAGATATAGGGTGTGGGCAAGCTTACTCTTAAAGTTCTCAGGACTTCCCTGGTGGTGCAGTGGTTAAGAATCCACCTGCCGATGCAGGGTACACGGGTTCGATCCCTGGTCTGGGAAGATCCCACATGCCGCAGAGCAGCTAAGCCCGTGCGCCACAGCTACTGAGCCTGCGCTCTAGAGCCCGTGAGCCACAACTGCTGAGCCCGCATTCCACAACTACTGAAGCCCACACACCTAGAGCCTGTGCTCTGCAACAAGAGAAGCCACCGAAATGAGAAGTCTGTGCACTGCAACAAAGAGTAGGCCCTGCTCACCACAACTAGAAAAAGCCCATGGCAGTAACGAAGACCAAGGCAGTCAAAAATAAATAAATAAAATTTTTTAAAAATTAAAAAACTTCTCAGAAGCTACTACATAATACTTCTGCATTTCTTTTGGCAGAATCCAGTTACATGGCATATTCTGCTGCAAAGGGTCCTGGGAAGTGCAATGTTTATATTGGGCAGCCTGTTCTCAACTAAAAACCAAGGGTTCAATCAGTGTACAAAAGGGGAATAATAGATGTTTGGGGACAACTAGCAGATATCACATAATCCTTTGGCCTGGTGGAGAGTGTTAAAATATACAGACTCTCGTAGACTCTCGTAGACTCTGATTCAGGTGATCTAGAATGTTTTGTAAACATCCATAATTGCAACAAATTCCCAAGGCGATTCTGATGTGGATCAAAATTTCAGAACCACTGACTTGACTTGTTAATTAACTCCCTCACTTTTCTTTCATGAGCTTTCATTTCTTTGCATTCTCCTTACTCTATTTTCATTCAATTGCATGATGGTATTTATTTTCAATTCTCTCTCTTTTCTACCAGAGGTATTTCAATTCTCTTGTAACACAAAACTAGCAATTAAAATGTGTTTCTTATCTTTCAGACTTGGTGTCCAAGTGTGAGGCCAAGAAGTTATCTCCAAAAAGAAACATTTATGAGACAGAATCATCCCAATGGGCTATCATGGGACCATTTAAAAGCCATAGTCCTGAGAAATCAATTTTCAGAGATATTTGGGCATGCAAAAGTCAGTTTGAGAGACAACAGGGAAAACAGAAGGGCTATTTCAGGCAGTTTATTATCAACCATGAACACATGCCCATTTTTAGCCAACATACTTTGTTCACTCAGGAATTTTATAATAGACAGAAAATCTTTGAATGTAAAGAATGTAGAAAAAACTTCAGTTACAATTTATTCTTTTGTCCTCACAAAACTCATTCTAAAGAAAAACTTTATGAATGTAAGGTATGTGCAGAAACTGTTGATACATCATACCTTACTAAACAACAGAGAATTCAAAATAGTAACAAGTGCAATGAATGTAAGGAATGTTGGAAGTCCTTTATTCATTGCTCACAACTTAAACAACATTTGAGAATTCATAAAGGTGAAAAACACTATGAATGTAAAGAATGTGGCAAGGCCTTTTATTATGGCTCAGAACTTATTCTACATCAGAGAATTCACACTGGTGAGAAACCCAATGAATGTAAGGAATGTGGGAAGGCCTTTATGCAGCTATCACAATTTACTCAACATCAGAGACTTCATACTGGTGAAAAACCCTATGAATRTAAGCAATGTGGGAAGGCTTTTATTTGTGGCTTTCAATTTACTGAACATCTGCACCTCCATACTGGTGAGAAACCCTTTGAATATAAAGAATGTGGAAAGACTTTCAGGCATCAATCATCCCCTACCATAAGTCAGAGACTTCATAGTCATGAGAAACCCTATGAGTGTAAAGAATGTGGGAAGACCTTTAATTATGGCTCAGAACTTATTCTACATCAGAGAATTCACACTGGTGAGAAACCTTATGAATGTAAGGAATGTGGGAAGGCATTTAGGCAGCGATCACAGCTTACTCAACATCAGAGACTTCATACTGGTGAAAAACCCTATGAATGTAAGCAATGTGGGAAGGCTTTTATTCGTGGCTTTCAACTTACTGAACATCTGCGACTCCATACTGGTGAGAAACCCTATGAATGTAAAGAATGTGGAAAGACTTTCAGACATCGATCACACCTTACAATACACCAGAGAATTCACACTGGTGAGAAACCCTATGAATGTAGAGAATGTGGAAAGGCCTTTAGCTATCACTCAAGCTTCTCTCACCATCAGAAAATTCATTCCGGCAAAAAACCTTATGAATGTAGTGAATGTGGGAAGGCCTTTTGTGATGGCTTACAACTTACTGTACATCGGAGGATTCATACTGGTGAGAAACCCTATGAGTGTAAGGAATGTGGGAAGGCTTTTAGGCAGTGCTCACACCTCAAAAGACATCAGAGAATTCACACTGGTGAGAAACCTCATGAATGTATATGTGGTAAGGCCTTTAGACTTCATTCACACCTTATTCAACATCAGAGAATTCATACTGGTGAGAAGCCGTTTGAATGTAAGGAATGTGGAAAGACCTTTAGCTATCATTCAAGCTTCTCACACCATCAGAAAATTCATTCTGGGAAGAAACCATATGAATGTGGAAAGGCCATTAACCATGGCTTACAATTTAATGTACATCAGACGCTTCATACTGTTGAGACTTCAGTAAGTTTTCCTCTCTCCCCATCCTAGTCTAGTATCATGAAATTATTTTGGGGGATATACTTTTTTCTTCTTTAAGGAAAATGTTGGTAAAATACTGGGTTTCATTAGTATTAATTTATTTTAGTAATCTTTGAACTCTTTTTTTTTTCAAGTGGGAAAATGGAAAAGTTATTAAAAGGAAAAAATTGCTCTGGTATCAGTGCTATTTCTGAATTATTGTAATGATCAATACTGGAAATAAATTTTATAAAACTATTTGTTTTCACTGAAACCAGTGAAGTGGGGCAGAAATAAAATGAAAACAATTTCTTCCCCTCCCACAAATCCCTGAAATAACCAATATGTATGTGTGTTGCTTCTTTCTTCGTGCTCGAACATATCTGCACATATGAAGGCTTTATTGCATGTCTGTGAAAGGATTTACCCCCTATAGTGACATATTTCATGGCATTTTGCCCTTTACACTTAAATAATCATGGACATTTTCCCAGGCCAATACTGTAAATCTGACTCATTCTTTCTAAAGTTTCAGAATATTTCTACTATGGGATGTATGCCAGTATTTTGAGCCATTCCCTACTGTAGACATTCAAATTGTTTCTACTTCTTTTTCACCAGAAATGATCGTGCAATAAACATTCTTAGATTGTCATTCTTATGTTTCTATTGGTAGATTCCCAACCATGAAAGTGTGTGTCTGTTCTGTTGTTACATTAATTTTGTAGTTTAAAAAAATGGGAAATAAAAGCAGATACTATAAAAGTTCAAAAATTACCCAAAATAACGTGAAAATAAAATCTTCCCTAATATCTAGTCCTATAACCATCTGCTTTCCCTACACAGGGGTAACTATAGCTGTCACTTCTTTTGTATTCTTCCAGGAATTAAATTTTAAAAATTCTTTGGACAAAAGTGGATTAATCATAATCCATGATTCATGATGTTCTAATCAGTCCACATTTTAGCCTACTTTTATTTAATTTTAATGTATTAGAGGGATTTATAAATACTGTACCAACTATTTACTGCCTTTCTGCTCCAAATTCTTCATTGCCTGCTCTGCAATATTGGAACTCTTCTCTCTTGTTTATAACATTATTTATTTGAGTCCTATCTTTTTATTATTTTTTTTGCGGTATGCGGGCCTCTCATTGTTGTGGCCTCTCCCGTTGCGGAGCACAGGCTCAGTGGCCAAGGCTCACAGGCCCAGCCGCTCCGCAGCATGTGGGATCTTCCCGGACCTGGGCACGAACCCGTGTCCCCTGCATCAGCAGGCAGACACTCAACCACTGCGCCACCAGGGAAGCCCTATCTTTCTTTTTTTACTTGATTAGACTAGCTAAAAGTTTTTCAACTTCATCTTTTCAAAGGAAAAGTTTTATTGATCTTTTCTATTGTCTTTCTAGTCTTTGTGTCATTTATATCTGCTCTAATGTTATCTTTTTTCCACCTGCAGATTTTGGCCTTCATTCTTCTTTTTTCTAGTTTCTTAAGGCATTAAGTTAGGTAGTTTACTTAAGATCTTTCTTTTTTTAAAAAAAATATAGGCTTTTATCTCTATAAACTTCCCTCTTGAAACTGCATTTGCTTTAGCCCATCTGCTTTTGTATGTTTTGCTTCTATTTTCATTTTTCTCAAGATACTTTTTGATTTCCCTTTTGATTTCTGATCCATTGCTTGTTAAAGAGTGTGTTTAATTTTCATGTATTTGTGAATTTTCCAATTTTCCTCCTGTTAATGATTTTTATTTTCATAATATTGTGGTCAAAAGGATACTTGATATGATTTCAGTCTTCTTAAATGTGTTAAGACTTGTGCCATAACATATGATCTATCCTGGAGAATGTTCCGTGTGTGCTTGAGAAAAAATATGTATTCTGCTGCTGTTGGATGGAATGTTCTATGTATGTCCATTATATTCATTTGTTCTGTAGTGTTTTCTGTCTGGATGAACTATCCATTGTTGATAATGGGGTATTGAAGTTCCCTACTAATACTGTATTACTGTTTATTTCTCCGTTCAGTTCTGTTAATATTTGCCTTATATATTTAAGTGCCCAGATGTTTGGTGCATATATATTTACAATTATTATATCTTCTTTATGAATTGGCCACATCATAATAGTGACCTTTTTTATTCTCTGTGACAGATTCCAACTGAAAGTCTATTTTGTCTGATATAAGTATAGCCATCCCAGCTCTCTTTTGGTTACCATTTGCATAGGATATCTCTTTCCATCCTTTCACTTTCAGCCTTTGGATATCCTTAAAGTGAGTCTCTTGTTGGTAGCAAAAAGTTGGATCTCTTTTTCAATCCCTTCAACTACACTACTGATTGATTCAGCTACTCTACTATCTTTGGATTAAATAATTTATTTCATTTACATTTAAAGTAATTATTGATAGGTAAGGTCTTTTTATTGACATTTTGTTCATTGTTTTCGTTTTTTGTGTGTCCCTTTTTTCCTTTCTTTGCTATCTTCCTTTATAATTTGATGCTTTTTTTTTTTAAACATCTTTATTGGGGTATAATTGCTTTACAATGGTGTGCCAGCCTCTGCTTTACAACAAAGTGAATCAGTCACACACAAACACATGTTCCCATATGTCCTCCCTCCTGCGTCTCCCTCCCTCCCACCCTCCCCATCCCACCCCTCCAGGCTGTCACAAAGCACCAAGCCAATATCCCTGTGCCATGCGGCTGCTTCCCACTAGCTATCTACATTACTACGTTTGTTAGTGTGTACATGTCCATGACCCTCTCTCGCCCTGTCACAGCTCACCCTTCCCCCTCCCCATAACCTCAAGTCCGCTCTCTAGGAGGTCTGCACCTCTATTCCTGCCTTACCCCTAGGTTCCTCATGACATCCTTTTTTTCTTAAATTCCATATATATGTGTTAGCATACGGTATTTGTCTTTTTCTTTCTGACTTACTTCACTCTGTATGACAGACTCTAGGTCTATCCACCTCATTACAAATAGCTCAATTTCGTTTCTTTTTATGGCTGAGTAATATTCCATTGTATATATGTGCCACATCTTCTTTATCCATTCATCCGATGACGGGCACTTAGGTTGTTTCCATCTCCGGGCTATTGTAAATAGAGCTGCAGTGAACATTTTGGTACATGACTCTTTTTGAATTTTGGTTTTCTCAGGGTATATGCCCAGTAGTGGGATTGCTGGGTCATATGGTAGTTCTATTTTTAGTTTTTTAAGGAACCTCCATACTGTTCTCCATAGTGGCTGAACCAATTCACATTCCCACCAGCAGTGCAAGAGTGTTCCCTTTTCTCCACACCCTCTCCAGCATTTATTGTTTCTAGATTTTTTGATGATGGCCATTCTGACTGGTGTGAGATGATATCTCATTGTAGTTTTGATTTGCATTTCTCTAATGATTAATGATGTTGAGCATTCTTTCAGGTGTTTGTTGTCAGTCTGTATATCTTCTTTGGAGAAATGTCTATTTAGGTCTTCTGCCCATTTTTGGATTGGGTTGTTTGTTTTTTTGTTATTGAGCTGCATGAGCTGCTTGTAAATTTTGGAGATTAATCCTTTGTCGGTTGCTTCATTTGCAAATATTTTCTCCCATTCTGAGGGTTGTCTTTTGGTCTCGTTTATGGTTTCCTTTGCTGTGCAAAAGCTTTGAAGTTTCATTAGGTCCCATTTGTTTATTTTTGTTTTTATTTCCATTACTCTAGGAGGTAGGTCAGAAAGGATCTTGCTGTGATTTATGTCATAGAGTGTTCTGCCTATGTTTTCCTCTAAGAGTTTGATAGTTTCTGGCCTTACATTTAGGTCTTTAATCCATTTTGAGCTTATTTTTGTGTATGGTGTTAGGGAGTGATATAATCTCATACTTTTACATGTACCTGTCCAGTTTTCCCAGCACCACTTATTGAAGAGGCTGTCCTTTCTCCACTGTACATTCCTGCCACCTTTATCAAAGATAAGGTGTCCATATGTGCGTGGGTTTATCTCTGGGCTTTCTATCCTGTTCCATTGATGTATCTTTCTGTTTTTGTGCCAGTACCATACTGTCTTGATAACTGTAGCTTTGTAGTATAGTCTGAAGTCAGGGAGCCTGATTCTTCCAGTTCCTTTTTTCGTTCTCAAGATTGCTTTGGCTATTCGGGGTCTTTTGTGTTTCCATACAAATTGCAAAATTTTTTGTTCTAGTTCTGTGAAAAATGCCAGTGGTAGTTTGATAGGGATTGCATTGAATCTATAGATTGCTTTGGGTAGTAGAGTCATTTTCACAATGTTGATTCTTCCAATCCAAGAACATGGTATATCTCTCCATCTATTTGTATCATCTTTATTTCTTTCATCAGTGTCTTATAATTTTCTGCATACAGGTCTTTTGTCTCCTTAGGTAGGTTTATTCCTAGGTATTTTATTCTTTTTGTTGCAATGGTAAATGGGAGTGTTTTCTTAATTTCACTTTCAGATTTTTCATGATTAGTGTATAGGAATACAAGAGATTTCTGTGCATTAATTTTGTATCCTGCTACTTTACCAAATTCATTGATTAGTTCTAGTAGTTTTCTGGTAGCATCTTTAGGATTCTCTATGTATAGTATCATGTCATCTGCAAACAGTGACAGCTTTACTTCTTTTCCAATTTGGATTACTTTTATTTCTTTTTCTTCTCTGATTGCTGTGGCTAAAACTATGTTGAATAATAGTGGTGAGAGTGGGCAACCTTGTCTTTTTCCTGATCTTAGTGGAAATGGTTTCAGTTTTTCACCATTGAGGATGCTGTTGGCTGTGGGTTTGTCATATATGGCTTTTATTATGTTGAGGAAAGTTCCCTCTGTGCCTACTTTCTGCAGGGTTTTTATCATAAATGGGTGTTGAATTTTGTCGAAAGCTTTCTCTGCATATATTCAGATGATCATATGGTTGTTCTCCTTCAACTTGTTAATATGGTGTATCACGTTGATTGATTTGCGTATATTGAAGAATCCTTACATTCCTGGAATAAACCCCATTTGATCATAGTGTATGGTCTGTTTAATGTGCTGTTGGATTCTGTTTGCTAGTATTTTGTTGAGGATTTTTGCATCTATGTTCATCAGTGATATTGGCCTGTAGTTTTCTTTCTTTGTGACATGTTTGTCTGGTTTTGGTATCAGAGTGATGGTGGCCTCGTAGAATGAGTTTGGGAGTGTTCCTCCCTCTGCTATATTTTGGAAGAGTTTGAGAGGATAGGTGTTAGCTCGTCTCTAAATGTTTGATAGAATTCACCTGTGAAGCCATCTGGTCCTGGGCTTTTGTTTGTTGGAAGATTTTTCATCACAGCTTCAATTTCAGTACTTGTGATTGGTCTGTTC